GTCTTATAATGTTAAATAATATTATAGATGATTTAATTTTGCACAAATTTGCCAAATATTTCACTTAAATTAGATTAACGGTTTAGAAGTTATATGAGATATAGCAAACAAATGCTCTTCCAATAATCCATTTCATGGATATATGTTTGATTTTAGGTGCTTTTACTAATTAAAGTATACTAAGTTTCTCTAAGGTCTTATGGTGTTAGACAATATTATAAATCATTTAATTTTGCACAAATTTGTCAAATATTTCACCTATATTAGACATTAGGTTTAAAAGCTAGAAAAGATATCATAAATCCACTCCCTATAAATTACACGTTCCAAAAAAAATACTAATCTCTATAACCTGTATTTGAAACCAAACCACTTAACTTATTAATTACTAATAATTAAAACTGTTTAAATACTTAAAACTTGAAAATATCAAAAATGAACACAAACATTAAAACAATCACAATTTTTGTACCTATTCTTACCTGATAATTAAATTAAATAAAACAGTGCTAAACTGTATATTTTATACTTAAAATTTTCCATTTAAATACATCACTTCTCATTCTTCATATTATTTTATAATCGACAAATAATATTTGCTGTGAACTAAAAAAATCACCGAAATTCACGATAGTCCCTAACCGGTACGCGAGCTTTGACACCAACCTGGATCTAGCCCTTGTTTTGGGTTAGTGGCGTTTTGCGCGTCTCGGCTTGGGACTATTGTAAATTCTGGTGATTTTTTATTTGAAGACATATAAAATATTTTATACGAAAATTTAGTAAATTTTATCACGTTTCTGATGAGGTAATTAAAAAAGTACGTAGAACAAAATTGTCAAGTTATTGGAATAAAAGTAAAAAAATGCCTCGAATCAGTTAGAAATTTTTCTTTATCGATTATAAAATTTTATGAAAGATTTAAATTGATATATATATATATATATATATATATATATACATAGCTGGGCATTAACTCGTTAATCCGTTAATCGTTAATTAACGAAGTTAACATTTTGATTAACGGATTAACTTTTAAGTTAACTTTTAAAAATGTTAACGGACACGTTAACTTCCGTTAAAATGCGAGAAGTCCGTTAATCGTTAATCCAATGCCTACTATTTACCGCACGGCACAGCTTTAGCCAATGCCTTATTAAACGGCATAGAGAAAAGATTTGGACTACTCCTGAATGATGAACAGTGCCAACTTGCCGCGGCATTTCACCCAAAGTTTCGGTTAATGTGGCTGGAAACGTATGACAGCAGTAGAGAGGAATGCAGAAACTATAAACTATTGGACAAAAAATTAATTTTTTTTGAAAAAAAAATGTTTTCTTTATTTTGACATATTTTTGGAAGATCTGAACTTTTTTTCAAAGCAATTTTACTGCTTTAGGACTGCATAGAGACAAAATATAAAGCGCGTAAGCGCCGCGTCGCTGTCTAAAGGATAAACATTCGTACGGAACCCATAGGAATGTAAATAAATTTATACTTATTGTTAAAATCTCTATAAAATATCTGATAATTTGATGTGCATATGTCTAATGATCATTTTGACCGTCAATGGCATTTTTTTTACTTTTTTCATTAGATCTCCCAAACCGCTAGACCTGCCTTCATGAAAAATTGATCAGTTCTTCATAATTGTCAATACAAGTAAAATGTTTTTTGAATTATTAAAATCGAACGCTCCGTTCTCTTAAAAACTGAGTTACCGTTTTTGGCTCAATTTTCCCCATCTCTTCGGAACGGCTAGACCTGCCTTTGCCAAAAACTAATCAGCACGTCTTCTTATCAATACGAATCGAATGTTTTTTGAATTATTCAAATCGGTTGATCCGTGTTCCCGAAATCGTGACGAAATTTTATCATAGCTATTAATAAGTAAGTATACCTTACAACAGTGATTCTCATGCTCATGCAAAAAAAATCAAATTTTGTATTCTGATTTAGTTGTCAATTTATCTAATTTTTTTAGTAAATAGTGTGTGAAATAAAAGTTAATGAAATCACTGTTTTATAAGGTAGACATTACTAATTATTGCTAAAACAACTCTTAAATCAGATGACTCGCCAAAAATATATGTAGGCCTGGTGTCGTATTAAGGGAATCATTTAATAATTACTGCCTAATTTCACAAAAACATGTGTGTATATATATATATTTAATTTGCTTTATTATATAAACTATACCAAGCCTTTGAAAAATCATAATCATTTCTACATTAGTCTCAAGTAAATAAACCTTCAACAACATATAATATAGTACATAATTTTACAGATATTAAAATGCCACAAGATTAGTTATAGAATAGGTTTAATTTTGCTTTATAAATATGCTTTATTGAATAATTCAAAAACACAAAGTGGTATAATGTAAGTTCATTAATCAAAGGAGATCAAATATTATAGGTACCTTATGTTATCAAAGTATTTTATAATATAGTAAATGTAAATAGATAAACCTTTGTATAGAAACAAAAAGATGATATTTGGCTTATTTACCTGTCGTATTGTCCGAAACTCCTCTTCCATATTATGCTTCCAGACATCTCTAATGCCACAATCTTCATTATTAGGGATAGACCCATGAGAACTGCTCGTTGCAGAAGGCATATCCTAAACAATTGAAAAAACTATAATGTGCGTATGAATATATATATTACAATTAAGTAGAGGTAAGAAGACGTATAATGTATATATAGTAATAATTTTCACAGCAGTCAAAATATAAGGAAGAATACTAATTGTTTATACTGCAAAAACATACAATAAAGAGTTAATAAAAAAATTGCAACTATAGCAATTGAAATTTCAAACAGATCGAAATTTAAGACAAACATTTGTTCCTTATGATATATATGAACTAATAATAGCTCGATTACAGTCATTGAAAATAAAACAAAGCATATGTAATATGTTTGATGTTCGAACAAAACTATTAAAAAGCGCTAATTTGACAGCGACTTAATATCACATAATATTATGTGCATATAAGTAACTAAAATCACCTCAGTATTCTCTCTCTGTATTATAACCTCCACCTCTTTTTGTTTATTATTATTATCAACAGCATCTAAATCTTCTTGAGAATAACTCAAGCCTTGCTTTTCCTCCCAATTTTCCCAATAGCTGTCTGTGTGGTCGAATGCACGGCCTCCACTCTCAAGCTGCACAGGCGCTTTCATGGGTGATGCCCTTGTTCTATAATATTATATCAAAGTAAATTCAATTGTATCAAATAAAATATTCAAAATTCTACTGGTATTTATATCAATTGAAATTATTGGTCTTTATTACTTTGTTCAGGTGAAGTATCACTTAAAATAACCGAACAAGCAATGAGAGAGGCGTTCATGGTTAGAAAATACTAGATTTCTATTTTATTTAATAATTATTCTTTGTAATGACATTACAAAGTATTAGTAAGAATATTTATAAAAATAAACATACCCATTTCAACTTTATTTCATTAAAAACTTTGCTAAACACGAGTGAAGTTGTAGTACATTCAGTGTCATTATGTGTCCATAGTCATAGTGTTACCTGATTAAAATTGTTTTCAGATTAGAATTAAAATTAAAACAATAAAGCAAATAAAATAATGATTTTCAAAATAACTCATGATTCATAAAATGATTTGAAATTTTGTATTTATAATACTTATTCCTAATGAGATTTTAAAAAATTTAAACGCAAATGTCATTAGGCTACAGGCACACATGGTTGTGTCATTGTGAGTGATGTTCATGATTTAAAGGACCTGAATCGTTACAAAAATATTGGCCCAAACATGAATTGACAAGGCTCTTAAATAAAAAGTCGGGCTGATTGTAAACATCAAAAGTTGAGGTTATAAAGTAGGGTCGTACTTAAACATCACGAGCATAGGTCATAAAGTTGTGATTGAATATTACTTTCTATCAGTACGTGATCCGAATCAGGTATGAGTCTCATAATTTTTGTGAAAAAGTATTTTATGTATGGAAATTTAATAATAAAACTTTAAAAAATGCATTCCCCTTTTGTTTTTAGTTTTTTTATTATATTAGCCACTGGGGATATCTACTAATTTGTAAACAACCAATTGTAAACAACTTGTCAGCAATCTCTGCTAAGTAAATGTAATCTGTATATATATTGCAGAATAACTAAATAAATAAATCTTGGTACGGAACCCACGGATTTACACAAAATCAGTACACATAATTAAAATCTTTATAAAATATCTGATAATTTTATGTACATATGTTCAATAAACATTTTTGACCGCCAAACGTCATTTTTTTAACTTATTTTTATTGAGAGTCCATAACCGTGGGCCTGCCTTCTCAAATAGTTAATCAGTTCTTTATCTTGTTTTGAATTATTAAAATCGGACGCTCCGTCCTCTTAAAAACTGAGTTACCGTTTTTGGCACTTTTTGCCCCGTATCTCTGTTACGGCTAGACACATTATTTTATTGTCTAGGGCTAGACCTCCCTTCGCCAGAAACTAATCAGCACGTCTCCTTATCAATACGAATCGGTTTTGAATTAATCAAATCGGTTGATCCATAGATAAAAGAAGAGTGGGTTGATCGGTTAATCGTCGACGAAAATTTGTATCCGCACATACACACACACATACATCCATTTTTTCTAAGATATGCCAAGATATTCAGAAACCTTTGGAACATAAAGATATTTAAACATTTTCATTTTCGATTATTTTTGCGATTACTATAACTTATCCATAAATGAAATAAGAGAATTTATCCTACAATAAGTTAAAAAAAATGCATGATTAAAAATTTGACGAACCGTAAACAGTCTGGTTCAAGAAACGTAAAACGATTACAGATACATGTGTGCCAGGCACTTAACAAAAAAAATGTATATAAATATAGATGAAAGAAGAGTATATAGATATGTAATGAATCATTCAAACTAGTTATATATGTGATTCTATTTTTTGATAGTGTTTATCATTTGAAAGTACTTTTTCTCATTTTCTTTATCAGTTCCATCAGGACGTCCCATATATTTCAGTCATCGTCTTATCTATGGTCTGTAGCCACGAGTCAGCGAGTGCCAAGCCACGTCGTTTTGATAGACGTTTGTGAGTTAAGGATTTTGTGTATGACATTTGTTGATAGACTTGGTAAAAATGAATATTTTCCGGTTAACGGGTGATATCTCTCATTTAGTTGCTGTTATAGTGTTATTACTCAAAATATGGAAAACTCGATCTTGCGCAGGTACTTAAAGAATACACTACGAAATATATATGATCCCGAAATTTTGCTGTCGGTTTTGTAGGAGTATTTGCTCTTGCTTGTAAATTACTATTGAAAACTGTGCAACATGCTCTTTTGTAGATAGTAAATCATATGTATTTGCAATGTATATATTTCAAACTATTATTTTCTAGTTATTCTAAGTCAAATCGTTTAATTTTTACCGGAGATTTCAAGTTCAGAAAAGTTAATCAAAAGTGCCTGTAATATTGTGTTGAATAATTCTATTGCTCTATGATCTTCTTATGAATAATCTTATAATCTAAACCTTGTATAAATTGAAGTACTAGATAATATTCCTGAATATTAAAAAGAAAAGCTTCTAACTACATAGTTCACAGTAAAATTCAATTTTAAAGTACACATTTTAAGAATGTGGAATTTAAAATTTGTAATTATATCTGAGTTTTATATGTTTAAATATGTTTAAATATGTTTTTAATAATTGTGCAAAAATCTATGAAGAACTATTTGTTCAAAATATAATTCACTTTGTGCGTGATTGATCAAATCGTGCTTTAGTTATTTCTTGCAATAAATAAAGATGAAATGAACTGCAAAAATGATAAACAAAAAGGGCTATTAAGTTAAGTTGCTCGATAGTAATATAATACAGAATCAATGTTTAAATTTCCCACTTACAGGTAGATACAATTATGTATGCGTCTTCTGTTCATTTTCTGTTCATGAAGTTCTTTTCGTTGAATTCTATTCAATTTCATTGTGATTATTTTTTTTATTGTGATTCAAAGTTTATCACTAAAATTAAGTTCAAAGGTATATTATAGTAAGTGTATTTAAACTTTTTATAGTGAACACTTTTTCACTGTTTTATTGCAGGTATATCAGGAAAATCACAATTTCTATTCGCAATCGTCTATATAACCCGATACTTGGATCTCGTAACAACTTTCATATCTGCTTATAATACTTTTATGAAATTAGTATTTATTGCTGCATCATGTGGTACCCTTTATCTAATGTACATTAAGTTCAAAGCTACTTATGATTCGAATCATGATACATTTCGAATTGAGTTCTTAATTTTACCATCTGCTGTACTGGCTTTGCTCATCAACCATGATTTTTCAGTGCTAGAGGTAAAGTATGATTATATGATTGTTTTTTTTTTTTAATATTTGTTTGCTAATTTTTATTTGTTTTGTGACAGATTCTATGGACTTTTAGTATTTATTTGGAGTCAGTTGCTATATTGCCGCAGTTGTTTATGGTCAGTAAAACAGGGGAAGCAGAAAGCATTACCTCTCATTATTTGTTTGCTTTGGGAAGCTATAGGGCTCTGTATTTACTGAATTGGGTAAGAATTTATTTAGTGTTAGTTATAATGAATTATGTAAGCAGTTAATTAAGTGATTTAGCACTTTTTGTTTGGTGTTTTAAATGTGGTTATTAAAGCAAATTTCTACTTGAAACTTGAAAAGAAAACTAATTTTACATGATCCATATTTTCTATTTCATTTAAAATTATATTTCGGATTCAGGGTATTACGTCATGCTCCTATTGGCCAATGTACATACTCAAATATTTAAAAAAAAATATAGCAATATTATTAAACTAGACAATTTTAGTTTAGAAGTGTCCCCACTTATTTTTTGTACTTATGTTACTCTGTTTTCATTTAAAGGTATATAGATATCTTGCTGAAGATCATTATGACTTAATTGCCATTGTAGCTGGAGCTGTACAAACAGTATTATACTGCGATTTCTTCTACTTGTACATTACCAAAGGTATTTAAGACATTTTCTTTAATATTATTTATATATTTATTAACATATTTTTATAATTACTAGTTCTGAAAGGCAAAAAACTGCAGCTGCCAGCTTAAACCAAGGATTTTTATTTTTTTAAACATAGTGTATAAGTTTATAAATGATTGAAAAGTGTATGAACTAAGAAATTGACATGCTAATATAATATATGCTATTATTTTCAAATGTTTAATGTGATTTGATGAATGTTTCTCAAATTATCTCCTTTTCCGTGCCGCATTTATTAATACATAATATGCATATTTGTGCATGTATACAATGTGTACATACATATTTTAATGTATTTATACATACACTTGTATGTATTTGCGTATAGATTATTATCATATATGTTTCTACATGATATGCATATTATTTTAAGATGTATTTCGCTATTTAAGTTTTCAGACATATTGAAGCAAATTTTATATATTTTGAAAGAGAATTGAGAGAATTTTACCTAGTTTTATAATATTAAATAGGATAGTTGAATAATATATAGGCCATTTTAAGTTTTAGTGGAATTGTAATATATTGTCTTACAATTCATGATCTTAAATAATAATGCAGTAATATTTAGCTGTTCCTTATTACATCTAATGAGGATAATATAAAATTAAGCAAAATATATATGCGAGCTCATTATACAAAATGTATATGCTAACATAATTTCTATTAATAAAGAAATTGCGAAAAGTATATTTGCCTTGACCATTTGAATCGATTTTTTATTATGTTAAATGTTTTCTCAACAACTTCTTAGAAAGCTTGTGATATACACCTTAACTACACTCGGAATCTTGGTATCAAAATCGTGTTGAGAAAGTGTTTCTATTAAAGATCGAATTTGTTGATGTCTTCAATGATGAGGAAAAAAGTGTTTACAGTTTAAACAAAATTAGATGTAAATAATGTTGATTGGTTTGTCTGATGATCGTGAGGCTATTTCTATGGGCGAAAAAAAATATCATTTACATGAAATAATTTAAGTTTGTTTGTAAGTTTTCCCATACTACATTTTTCTCATCAATAAAGTAAATATTTATTTTCGCTGTCAACTACAATATTAGAAAGATAATTTTTCGATATTATTTCACTATATAATTTGTTGAAACTTCTGACATTTTTACGCATGAATTGTCATAGCCACTAAAATAATGTTCATTGGGACACTTCATATGCATAGCGTTAAATTTTCCTGCGTTTTTGAAACATAAGTAATATGAATTTCTATCCAATTTGTCCGGAAATCTACCCTCCGAAGCGCAACTACAAACAATAAATTGAGTGAATTTTCAGACGATTTTATAATTTTTTTCAAGACTAAAATGAGATAAGTTACCTGAAAGTATCAAATGCGCTAGTTTTGGATTGTATATCTTCTAAATTGATGCTTTGCCTCCGCTTCCGAATTTTTTCCCTTCGAATCTCGTTCTTTCTTTTCTGCGTACTTGAACATATTCTTCTTAATGGATCAAAAGACGTATTCTGTAAAAGATTATGTTTAATTTTTTCAAGTATTACAGTTTAATTTTGTAAAATGCTGATCCAATTAATTAAAATCGAGTTTCACACACAATATATATCGTCGATAGATCGATGCATTACACTTACAGGGTCATTCCCTGTTTTGAAAATTATATAGATTATGAATTTCGAGTCTCCAATTATATTAATCAAATAAAACTACATTCGGGTTTTACCCGAAACTACATCCAAATCCATACAAAAAATACTTTATTTCATAAATCCACTTATAACTTATTTGCTTTACCGGCGGACAAATCATTCTTGTAGTATAGTACCCCGGTGATCCTCGCATCTTGCGGCATATATAAAACACAGTTTCATCATATGGATCTGGCATTTCTCCAGATTCAGTGCATGTAAATGAATTATCATCATAAATAGCTAAAAACATATTATTCATGAGAAAAATATTACTGCGAAATATGTTTAAAGTAGTTAATAGATAACATTTTTCAATTTAATAGTACTTGAATCGGCCTTAGGTTTATTTGCTTGTGATTTTTCTTGATCCAGTTCCTGTGATTCTCTAACCAATTTGCGAGCTT